AGCAGGGAGGGAAGGAAAGAAAGAAAGGGAGTAATTCCCACTTTCTTCCACACCTGTGACCCAGCCGCCAGCCGCCCCAGCTATTTCTCCCGTCAGTGTGAGTGTGTGCTTCTTTTTCATGTGTGTAAGTCTCTCTGGTTCTCGCACTCTCTGTATGATTGATGACTTGGTCAGGCCTGGATCCTTGCCATGGCCCGGGCCTGATCAGGCATGTTCTGGTCATAACAATGCCATCAATATGTGGCTGACGGCTGTACGTGAGAGTGTGTGTGTGTGTGTGTGTGTGTAATGTAAAATAAAAATGAAGCCCAACATTACCCAAGAGAGTCAAGATGCTTTGGTGGAATTTCCCTTCCTGCACCTCTGAGGGGATAAAAGAGGAACGTTGTTTAGATATAGTTCCCCCCCCCATTGATTGGAATTTGAATCCCATTAATTAGCCCTTCCATGAACAATCCATATGTTACTGCTTGACAAATGAACTCTACTTTCATGGTTTTTTCTTCTCCCAGTTTCCGTTTCTCTTCGCAGGCTCAGGTTTCCTGTGTCTGCTTTGAGATTGACCAAAAATCTGCTTGATATCTGATGAGCAGCATTTGATGAAAGGCATTAGTGAGCTTGCATTATTGATGACTGTGGAGTGATGCATTAACTCATTAAATATGTATGTGTACATTACATGAGAACGAACATGTCCCATAGCATGTCATATTGATTCTGGTGTGAGTTACGAGTCTCCTGCACGAGCCAGATGAAGAAGAAAAAAAAACAAAACATTAGGTGATGGCACACCAAATCGCTTAAGAGCTTTTATTGACGGCCTCCCCTCCGGATGCTCGGTCACAGTTGAGAAGTTTCAGAGTTTTGAACTTGCTCGCTTGGACAGATCAAGGGGAGTATGTGCACATGCAGCAGATTTTGTGTGGGAGGGGAGTGTGTGAAATAACGTGAGAGGAAACCAAGAAGTGGTGCCAACTTACACTGTTAAAGGATTCGTAGCAGTGTTTCTGAATTCTTTCCCTCATCTGGTTAGCTATCACTTTACATCTCCCACTGACAACATTATTTTCCACTCATGGCTTCTTTACAAGCCCTGCTGCCCTTGTGGCCCCCGTCAGAACTGAAAGTGACTCCCCTCGCTCCCCAGTGATGGAGCAAACAAAAAAAAGATGAGTAAACTATGCTAATGTAAAAACCGGTTGGTGATCATCTGAGGCTAACAGTGCAATCTAAAATGAATTACTCAGCCCCAAGAAAAGGCATTCATCTGTGCTTCCTTACCTTAAAAGACACTGTGCTCATTTAGTTTACATCAGGTTGAAAGTAATTACTGTGGCTGCCACACGCTATGAATTTATATTGTGCCATTTTTGTGAGTCTAAGGAAAAGTTCATTATCCTCTGACTAATAAAAATGCAAGTTTGCTCTCCTTGTACGTGCCGCAAAAGTGACTTTATTAAAATCTCCAGTGATTTACTTTACTTTTCCACATTAAAAACTGTTAGGAAAACTAAGCTGCTGAAAAAAAAAATCTTCTTTGAGAGAGCTGCACGATTAGTATTCATGGTCATGGATAAAAATGAATGTAAGTTAAATTGTTCCCAAGCCACCACAAACTGCTGGCAGCTGTTGCTGTCCCAGGTGACTTGTTTCATCTATAAAGACATGCCAGCCACCATGTTACACAATAAAAAAGAAACACACAATGTGGGGAATTACACATGCTCACATCAAGTGAAAACTCAGCAGGGTGTGTTTAGCTGCAGTTTAAAAATGTACCGGTGTTTAAATATGCAAATGAAGTGGATTCTAAGAGGGAGGACGTTGAGATACTGACAGGTAAATGGATGGAAATCAATTACATTAAAGAGACCATGTGGCATAAGCATTGTGAGTCATTTCTGGTCTTTTAATTTAGCTAAGAGTTGTATAAATATTAAACATGTTCATGTTCAAACAAGTGTCCCCGAGTCTTGATTACACAGGACTGTTGAATGTCAAGCATTCATGTGATGTAATATGCATTTAGAGGCTGCAAATCCCCCCCCCCCCCATAATAGAAGTGTAAAAATACTGCAGTACATGCTGCGTATATTTCCTTATTTTTGTGGTGTTGACTCTGTTGTTGAACACCAGAAGAACCCTGTGGCAAACACACACACTCATAGACACACAGATAGAGAGAAAGAGGGACGTACACACACACGCAGAAAAACATGCAGTCACACAGTAGCTCGGTGGGGGGAAGGTTTTAATAAACCCACAGTAACGTAGATCTATGGGGGCGTCTCGGGACCGAGCCAGGAAACCAGATGAACGTACCTGCCCGGGGGCACAGAGAGAGAAACAGTGAGGGTGGGGAGGGGGGGGGGGGGTTGCAGAGAAGCCACAGGCACATTATGTCTCCCGTTGCCCTGACTTTTTTTCTCTCTCTCCTGCCATCAGTCTCTTCACTCGCCCACTCTGTCCGTCTCTGCTCACATCATCAGCCTCATGAAAGCAGCCATGCCCACAAACAAGCCATGTGTTTGTCAGAGAAAATGCCCAATCACTTTAATGACATTTCATGCCATCTCTGCTTTCACAGAGGACTTGGAAGTTTGTTCCTTCAGTCGGCTAAATGCAGACTGTAATTTCAGACAAACGCAATGGAAATGCCGAGTGCAGCCAATCAGATCTAATCATGTATGAAGAAATGTAATTTTGGAGGACACCAGGGCAGAGCGGGTTGATACGGGTATTAGTTACTATGCAAAAAGGCGTGTCCATACTCCCGCAATATGAATTTATGAAGCTTGCCTGTGATTTCAATCTGACTAATGTATCAGAACAAACCCATCTGTGCAGCACTGACCCCTGAGGTGAGGGGTTTTTGGGGTGGGGGGGAGTAGTTGGAGCGTGGGCGGCTGGTTTATACTCCCACAATGAACCAAGGCGGTCAGTGAGATAGCAAATGAAATCTTTTTACCCACATTTGTAAAGCTTAAAATGAAGAACAAAGAAAGAAAGAAAAACAATCTCTCCAGAACAGATTCCATGGGAAAAATTTTATTTATCAATATGCGGTAGTTTCCAAACTGGTGGAACGTTATTTCCATTGTAGCTGGTGCCAATAGGTTACGCTGAGAAGCGGCGAGAAAGTGAGTGGCAAAAAGAAAACGAAAAAAAAAAAACTTGACAAGTTATGATTCAAACAAAGGGAAACAAATTCAACAGGTTTTGCTTACACATGCACATTGAAAAATAATACTGTGGCTTTGAACAATAGCAGAAATCAACCTACAGTGAGGCTCAATACCATGAGCAAAGCTCTTTGAGCTAAATTAGGAAAGGAGGGAGAGAGCAACTTTAAAACAAAGGACCGCCTGGGAGATAATGAGTGGTGTAAACCGGATGATTTATTGGCGAGCGCAGAACGGTCACACTCTCATTCGCGGGCTCTTTTCTCTCTCCCTCTCTCCGTCTAGCCCGATAGACTTATTAAAACCGAGAAAAGATTAATCTTTCTGGACCAAAATGTTTTTGTTGCGTCTAATAATGGAGTGGAGGGTGTAGGTAACTCAAAGGCAGTGGAATAACACAGTCTTTATATGCAGAGTTAAGTGCTGTCTCCAACAGGGAAGTGGTCTTATCATTCATAGTTTCAATCACATATCCATTTCAAAGCTGTGCGCTGACAAAGCTTCAGTCCTGAACAGTTTCTGAGCAACTAGAAATCCTGCTGAATGGCGATGTAAAAACTCTGAACCCCATTTATTTAAACACGTGTGGTAACAAAGACTTTTTTTTTTTTGACAATACTGGACGCTGCGAGAAAAAAAAGACAGCTCATGTGTCCGTTGCAATATTTAGTTTAACTCTAAAAGAAAAAAGAAAATAAAAACATATTGCAAACAGAGACAAAAAAAATGCAAGGAGTCATACAAAACACACTTTAAAAAGACAGCTATTTACAAACATCCTCCATTACAAAAATCTATTCTTAAATTTTTCTTATGAGCAGTGTTCAGGTGAAATTACATCTTTAAATCGGGCTCTATCCATATATTTACATTTCTCTCATTTTAATTTTTTCTTCTAAAAAAAAAAATTGAATAACATTAAGTGGTCACAAGAATGAATAAAAATGAGATATGGTTGGTGGTAATTTGGTAATGACTCCCTTGGCTGGTGTAGGTGAATGGATGCGCACCGATCCGAAACAAAAACATTTGATGTAGATGTGTTTCACAGAGGGCCGCTGAGGGCTGCATGCTGAGTTAAAACACAGGACCACAAAAGCACGAGCAGCTGTTTAGGCTGTTAACTCTAAAGGTTAACGACACGCAAAAGCCACTGGAGTCTTCCCCGAGTCTTCAAGCTGGGGCCGCCTTTTAACTCAGCAGTGTGTGTCTCCGTGGATGGCAATAGTATGTGGCAGCGGATGATAGGTGTCTGCCGGTGAGAAAAAACATCGACTGGCAGTCTGACCGTTTGACTGGAGATAAAAACCTGGACCCGTCAGTCTCGGTGTGTGTGTGTGTGTCTGTGTGTGTGTCTGTGTGTGTGTGTGTGTGTGTGTGTGTGTGTGTGTCTGTGTGTGTGTGTGTGTGTGTGTGTGTGTGTGTGTGTGTGTGTGTGCGCACATGTGCGTCAAACGTCAGCTCGTGTCTGTGTGTGTGCTGAGGAATAGCTGTCCTTATCTGCTCCCCCTCTCCTCTCACACATCATTAACTGGGACTGCGGCGCTCCGTACTTTGGCAGCCACACTGTTTGGAGCACCTCGATCCAATCCCAAAACAAGACTGTTTGTCTGCCCGACCACAGAAGCATTCACAAACATACACACACACACACAGACACAGACAGACACACACAGAAAAAAAAGTTGCAAATATAAGCACAAATGTACCAACATGTGCACACAGACAGATTTGAACACCATCAGCACCTGAAAGCCAGCTCTGGCATACACACACATGCGCACACACCAAACTGCTGTAAATCCTGTGCCGGTGCTGCTGCTGCCCTGGGCTGTGTGATAGCTGAGCTGCAGTGTCCTCTTCGCTGGCTGAACACCTTGACTGTGGAATATCCTGCACAGCATTTTTTATTCACAGCACAACTGGTGAGAGAACTACCACTGCCCAACACATCACCCATCACCCCCCTCTTACCCCCCATCAACACCACCATCTTCCTCTCAGGTTAAGTCACAGGAACATTTTCTCTCTCGCTCTCTCTCTCTCTCTCTCTCCGGCTGGTGAGTGTGGGCACTGAGATGGCACATAGATTAGTCACACGCCGACGAAGCCACGACTGCGCACTCCACCGAGTCATCTACAGATGGCGGCCAATTGGCATCTGACAATACTGTAACCCACCCGTAGCTCTCGCCATCCAACTTATATTTAGGGCATCCTACCTATGTAGGCCAGCCAATCAGAAACCAACCTACGCCCACCTCGCCCAGGCAGCAGGCACCAGGCTAACTGTTTGATGCTAACACCATAGCACCAGAAGCCAGAACAAACACATTTTTTTAACCTGCCTGCTGTCTTAAAAAAACCAGCTCACAGAAAGCTCATCAGACACATAAAAACCATTGATGGGTGCCAACTGGGACACTGGAAGGGTGTTGTAAGATCTGGGGCTTGTCTGTCTGTCAGCATGTCAGTCTGTCCTGTTTTTTGCAGCGATACGCTAATTTAGAGTTCTACCCCTAAGCTAATAAGTCTGCCCAAATACAAACTAGTCCTGACATGCCCAACACACACACACACTCACAGAGGGCGCACCCTGAAATACACACATAGTAAGTCATAAATACCAGAGTAATGGTAAAGCTCATATCAGACCAGAGGAGAAGGGAGAACTCCAAGCAAACACACATACACATACACACCTAGATATCAACAGTCCAGGTCAAGGTACGTGATCAGGAGGAAAAAAAAAAAGAGAAGGATGACATGGGTGGTGAAAGATGGAGTAATAGTGATGATCTATTCAACTCTATACATTGTGCACTTGTAGGAAAAGTCTAACAAAATACAACTGCTTTGTGAACTGAATCAGGGTTCGAGGAAATCCTCCATCAAAAATAGTAAGTAAGGCAAACATCAGAGGTGCGAAGGGAGAGGAACACGTCATTTCACACACTGTGTCTGATACCTGAGCTATCTGGAGAGTTCCCTGGCCCCAGCACGGAGCCCTGACTACACACACACACACACACACACACACACACACACACACACACACACACACATTTTATACTCGCACACAAACTGCAGGCTGAGTGGCATTTGGGGCCTGTGTCTGCCTGCTCCTGGCTTAGTGTGCTCTGATGGTGTGTTTAATTGGGTGTAGCACAGACTGTACTTCAGGGAACTGAGATAAGTTATATCCTGCCCGTTATAGGGGGACAGTGAACCAGGAAGCTCGAATTCCATCTGTTGGTTCAATTCAGCCCCGCCCCCCCTTTCAGAGCGCGTCGAGGAGGTGTAGAAGGTGGGAAGTGAGGGGGAGGAGGAGGAGGGGTGGGGGGGGGGTGGGGGATTGTCAAACAACCCAAACAAACAGAATAAACCTCTCTCAACAGTCAGCTCACAACCCCGCTGGTTACTGGTCAGTGCGTGTCTCTCCAGATTTGTGCAGCAGGTGGTAGAAATAACAAGGGCTCGAAGAAGCTTCAAGTCCCATAAAAATGCAAGGAAAGTGTCCTTCCCAAGAACATAAATCAAAGCGCTCCTCTCATCCTCTCTCCTGACGGGGTGGCTGGCTGTGCGGAGCATGTCAGACTTTGTAGTAAATGTTGGCAGGGCTCTGCGGGGGCATCTCCTGGACAATGTAGACAGGGTGGCCATAGTCGCCGCTCACCTTCTCATAGTGAGGGCAGTAGTTGTTCTCTGTCCGCAGCGGAATGATGATGTCACTGGGCTCCGTGCCAGCCGTGCCCCCGGGCATCTTGGGGTTGGACAGCGTGCTGAGTGACAGCGCTGAGGGGCGGGGCTGCGAGTGGGCATTTTTCCTCGAGCGCTTGCGCATCTTGATGAGCAGGATGACGAGGAGGAGGATGAGAAGGAGGAAGATGATGCAGCCGGCACCGATGAAGGAAAACACGGCCACTTTGGAGCCGAGGATGCCGTCCGAGCCCGCGGAGGAACCAGACTGGTCCTGATTCATGTGGTCTGGAGAGAGAGAAAAAAGAAAGAGACAGAAAGTTGGCTTAGAGGCTGTGCAAAAATGATTAGACAGGGTCAAACAGTGTAAAGATAAAAGAAAAATACAGTGAGCTTCTTATACATCCCATATGTCTTCCATATTTGTGAGATTTATGGTATCAAAAGAGATATTAAGGACCATCAAAAGATGGTTTTCATGTGCTCCATAAAGGTTCTTTTTTGTTTCTTGGCATATGGGCAAAGCTCAGTTCCAGGATGACACATCTGGTGATTATAGTTACAGTTCATCTAGCTGCTCATTGGCTGTGATTATCTTACAATAGAAATGAAAACCTTCATATAGCGTCGTTTTCCTAACATAGCAGAAGGGTCCAGAGAAAATGTTTATAACACTAAGGAGGTCCTTCTTTGCTTATTTGTAGAAACATTTGGCAACGCTCCCCATCCAAAATTATTTTCCGACATCCCCTCGGAGACTGTGGAACAAAGTGGGCAGGAACAGTAACAGTGAGCCAGTCCTGACCTGTCATGAGCAAATCTTACTGTTTCTGTGCCTAAATCAACTATGATCACAACCCCGTTTGTTGTTTGCTTTACATGACTAACGGCCCCATTGATGTAATCTAATTGAATTAGCTTCATCAAAATAGCCCACTAATGAAATCCGCAGCCATCACTCATCACAGCAGAGATTCCCGCCCTGATATGATTGAGCCTGAGTAACTTGTATGACATATCCAGGCCATGTTTCTATGGCAAAGGCCAAGTGAGATATGAAAAAAAAGTAAAGGGGGGGCATATCTGAACATCTGATTTTATTTTATCCTTTTGTCAAGGGGGGCAGGAAGGGTTGGAGGAGGAGGAGAAAGGGGGGGGGGGGCTGTTACTGGATGAGAGAGAGAGAATGACTGCCTCCTCCAGTAACTGAAATCCGAGAAGAACCAAATCTGTTTTCCATGTATGCATGCAGCTGCTGCCAAAGAGCAGCACTCACCTCCTCCCACCACCACCACCTCTTTACTGTCCTCAACCCCCCCACCCCCACCCCCACCCCTTTCCACACACACACACACACACACACACACACACACACACACACACACACACACACACACACACACACACACACACACACACACACACACAGGCCTCATACCTCCGGAGACTGCCATCCTCACTAATGACTGTGTCTCCGCACTCTGCTGACCATTCTGCACTTAACCATTTATTGAGTAGGGGGGAATAACTGCTCCTTACGTCTTATCACGTCTAAATGACATCACTGAGAGCTTCTGATTTGAGCCTTATCAGTGAAATCAGAGGAGTGAGGAATTTAGTACATTCTGGGGCAGTGGGGAGAGCTGGAGAAGTGCTGTCAGAAATCTCATTCCAGAAATATCAGCCCCTCAAACCACAATGACACGTCCTTCATTCCACCCTCCACTTCTTCTTCACTTGACATAATCACTGATCTAACAATGGCAGCCAGGTAAAAGCCGAGGGTTTAGGGAAAAGTGACATTAGGAACTCTTTTTATAGAGCAACTAATGTCAAATAAGCAACTATTAAATGAGGACGGCTTATCACATCGGGACAGGCAGAACAGCTTGTACTTGGGAGGAAGTTTGTGGCAAAGTTGTGGAGTAAGTCAAAAAGTTGAGGAGCGTATGCCTCCTGTGGAAAAGCAGCGATGAAAATGTGCTGTGAAAACAGGAAACAGGGAGGGCCCAGAGCATCCACGTATAGGCTCGAGTGACTGCTTCAATTATCTCCGCATTTAATCTTCATTTATTTGCAATTCTAATGAAGTTTAAAAAGATATATCATAAAGAGCTGCGTCTTTGAGTCTCCTTGGGTGCAGCACACGCCTTTGTGCTCAGCATGAATGAGGGAAGTGACTCAGGTTGAGCTTCGTTTATCTAAGGCGAGGTTTTCGTTTGGTTTAAAAAGCAAGCAGCTTTTTTTTTGTGGCTATTGTTTTATTTTCTGCAACATCCAGTTTACACCTTTTAACCATGTTGACCCACAAGAAATCAAAGGAGTGCCTGCGGTATGAGAAGTCCATATAAGAGACTGCTTACATAGGAAAACTCAACTGTGATTTTTATTTTCACTTCTCCGGCTAATTGTGATTAATTATTAGAGGAACCCTTGGGGCTGTGAATATTCAGTTTTTACATTTCAAAAACCTTTATTTTACTAAAATATTTGCACTCTAGAGAGTAGAAAGCATTATTCAAAGAGTCTTGAAGCCGCAGTTTATGTGTAAAGGGTTACTCTATCAATCTGCTCACCAGGGTTTCCTGGCATCGCAGGTCCAATTCGATCCTGGTCAGGCGGACTGGGACTGGACTCCGGTATGGCATTGTCTTCTGGAGGCTCCGGCTCTGCAGGGTTTGCGTTTGGGACTGCAGGAAACAAAAACAAAAAAAGAAACACACTCAGAAACTTAGCCTTGGAGAGAAACACATGTGCTGTGAATGACAATCACTCGTTCTCTCTGCATCCAAGATTATTTTTTTTATTATTATCTTTTGATATGTCTTTTACACACTGAGAAGGTTATCGTTGCATGTGTTGAAAGTGTCTCAGAAGCGGAGATGAAAGCGCAAAAAAAGAGGAAGGACAAGTTAGCGAACGTCTGTGAAACACGGCAGTATCCCTGTCCTGTCGTAAAAAATGAGCTCACATCTACATCAGCAGCTCCTTCAGCAAACACTCAGACAGGCATCTCCAACACTGACACATTCATGAGAGCAGAGAGTGCACACAAACACACACATGCATGCACACATACAAACCCACACATGGGATATTCTTACAATACACTTAGGCATGGCAGAATGAGGGTAAAGTAGTTATATATTAACTTTTTATTGTTTTACATTATTCATCACGTTAAAAGGCCATAATATGCCTTATTTATTGCCCCGGCTTTAACTCTGCCTGGAAGAGGCACACTTCTGAAGAGGAGCACAGGAAGGAGAAGGGGGGAGACAAGGAGTAGAGGGGGGGAGCTGCATATGCTCTGAGGGGGACGCAAAGGAAACAGACAGTTTATCTGTCTGTCTGTTGTGATTTCAGCATGCGCACTTTGAAGTCTCTGTGCGGTAAACACTGGTGGGTCCGCGGCGTGGCTCTTTACGAGGGCAGGACCGGCAGACAGAAGACGGTTATAAACCATTACCGAAGCCGCTCTGATGGATTCCACAGTTCACTATCAGATGCCTCTCTTCTATCTGGCCTTATCTGCATCTGCCCGAAGGCCTGCTCAAGGGGTGTGTGTGAGAAATACAGAGGAGGGTGTGCGGGGAGGCAATTTACATTTCAGTCCCTCTTGGCCTGTGTGTGGCCGTGCATAACTGAGAATGTGTGTGTGTGATTTAAAAAAAAAAAAGGACCTGACAGTCAAGCAGACTATTTTCTATTTTCAACACAGTTTGACCGAGACCGGGGGTAGAGACATGAATTTGGTGTGGGATGTCTGGAGGACAGGAAGGCGGAAAAAAGAAGGAAAGAGGGAAAGACAGAGAGGGCCATGTTTTAATGTGCAGCATTTTTCTTTTGGCGTTTGGCAAACATAAGCTCACTATTAACAAATTGATCTCCTCTCCTCCTCTTTCTTCTCCATGTCCAGACCGCCGCATAGCTCCTCCACACTGATTGCAGCAGTGGTGAACTTAGCCGTGAGCTGTTTTGCACCGTCAATAATTGATGAGAAAAGACAGGAGTGAGAAGTGGCAACATTCACGTGTGGCAGGGGATACGAGAGGACACAGTGATCTGATTCAGTGCCGTGCATGCAGCCCCAACAGTGTGTGTCACTGAGCATGTGCAGGGAGCGTTCTAATGTTCTGACCCATTTTTACTGTGTACTGCTGACATTTCCCTTAGCTATGCAGACAGCAACTACCTCAGAACTGCCAAACCGCCAGAAGGAGGTAGAAGGCGGAGGGGGAAGGAGGAGGAGGAGGAGGAGAGAGAGAGAAAAAGAGAGGGAGACAATGATCGAGCAAAAGAAGAGGGAGAGAGGAATGTGTTGGGATAGGAAGAGGGAGAGAAAACAAGAAGGGGAGGGGGGAGGGGAGGGTGTGCGAGAGGCGGTGAGTCAACATATTTTTAATGAGCATTGTGACACGATGTGGTGGAGGGGAAAGAGAGTGTAGAACAGCGATGGATGTATAAAATATGGCCTCCTCCTACTTCCCCTTCAATCAATTTCACTTCCTGTCGTACTTTATATTTTTCATAAAGACAAAAGACGGAACACGAGGCATTTAAAGTACAATTAGATATCGACGTGTCGGAGTGCATCATTTCCCCGAACAGATGAGTCAACATGATAGCGTCTGGGAGTGTCGCCACAAAAAATGTAACAGTAAAAAAAAGTGCACATTTCACACTCTGTGAGAGTGAGTCACCAAGAATAAAAATCCATAGAGCAAAGTGCAGAGGAGCGCGGGTGGACATATTGGGGAGATGTTGGGGACTTGGCCACAGGAAGCGTTGGCATTTCGCTGCAAAGACGGTGGAAATGTGGCTTAAACACAATAGCAGCTGGGGTCAAAGCCAAGCAGAGCCCAGATTCTTTTGTGCTTGTTAAAACAACATCCAGTGTGACTGCAGGTAATTTATAGCCCTTTAAAAAAAACCTCTCAGTTCTGATTCATCTTTGAAGGGTTGTCGTGGTAACTCTGATTTAGCTATTGGACTTTAAAAAAGTGCAAATTGTAAATCACAGTTTTAAAAGAGACCAAGGCGTCTTGTTTAAATGACAGTCATAAAAGTCAACAAGCCAAATATATTATATGTTTAATATAAAATCAAAATACTCTTGCAGATGTAGTTTCTTACATCTTTTTAAATCTTTGGTCCTCTTGGTCTCAGCTCGTGTTGTTGGGTTCTTGTGTTGCCTGGGTTCTTATGATGGATCTTGTGATGGTCGGGTTATATATGTCTGTTGGGTATCTTGCTATATGGGTTCATTTCTGTTGAATTGTATTTAATTATTTTTAGTATTTATCATTTGTTAGATTCTTGCTGTTGTTCTTCTGTGTTTGGTTTAGTTTGTTCTTGTTTTTTGTCTTTGTAAACCTGTGTTTTTAAAAGGTGCTATATAAATAAAGTTATTATTATTATTATCATTATTACACTGAATATTATGGCTGTTTGCATTATTTTGTTAATTAACAGTGGTCGTGGACGTATGACGCTATTGTCCTCAAGCAAAAGAAGCAATTCCACACTTTAAAAAAACAACCTCGGTAACAGAAAAAATCCATGTCTGTATGAATTCAATCGTATGTTGGACTACAATAAGCATTTTCCAGTGTTTCCTAACATGCAAGACACACAAATATTCATTGATTAATCCATAACATAATCAGTCCCAGCAGATGAATCAATCATGCATCAAATCATTATGTGCAGCCCTAAGGGTCACGCTTTCTCTTTTATGGGAAAACAATCATTTCAAACGTGCACACAGCAGCTAAATCTAAGTTTCCATCGACGCTCTAATTTCCTCGTGTCCTCTCCTCTTTTATAGTTACTGGGCTGGATTGGACAAATTATGCATCAAAAAATTCCCCTCACAGAAATAGAATTAAAAAGTAGTAGCAGCTGGGACGACAGCATCCTTTCAATCAAGGTTTATAGGGCACGCTGATTGTGAGTGACAGCTTCGGACTGCTTTTGGAAATGAGCGCACGGCTTTGGCGAAGTTGAGGAACAGCCGGCAGCCACAGAAACAGTGTCAAACTGAGAGGAACTTTCCTAGAACTTTCCTCGAATGAGACATTTTCCTTTCAACTCTCATTAATGTGAGTTCAGGGATTTGTTTCCCTCTGAGTTAATAGTTCTGTGTGAGAGCCTGTGTCGCCTGCATCGATGCAGCTGTGTTGTCATTTGGCGCGGGTGTTGCAATCCGGTGGCTGTCGGATGCTCAAATTGACCTACATGGGGAGATAATGCAATGCCTGTCTGTTTGTAAGATAGCTGCGGGTATTTTTCACTGTAGCTGCTGAAATTGTTCCGACTCAGACCTTGCTAGCATCAGCAGCTTGTTAGCTTCTATTCTCCCACTGACTGCCAGGATGCACTGCTGTCATCCAACAAGCCAGCATTCAAATATGCACACACACACACACACACACACACACACACACACACACACACACACACACACACACACACACACACACACACACACACACACACACACACACACACACACACACACACACACACACACACAGATGATTTCTTCTCAGCTAGTCTCATTTTTATTTCTGACATGTTGATATCCACTCTTAAGGTGGAATCAGATCGTGGTGGTTAGCAGATGTTCCTCTCAGAGGGCCGTTAGTGTCTCTAACCCCCCCCCCCGGTCAAAACAACCACAGTTAAAAAATGGGGGGGATGTTTACAGAGTAACACATCTGTATACTGTACCCTGTCAAATGCAGGATATGGATGTCCACATATTGAGTAAAACTCTGTCTAAAAGTCGAATGCATGATGCAAACCAAATGTTTTGTCCAAGGATATCTAAACAAAGCTTGCTTGTTTACTTTCAGCATTTTTTAGACGACTTACCCCGGACTATTCACTGACATACTGAATTCAAACAACCTTCATTCTGTGACGACTGAAAAACAATCAGGCGGAGAAACAGCTGAGGCACATCAGAGCCCTCGTTTCAATGTGGAAGTGAACTCCTGACTTATTTGGATGTTATTTCTTAGTGATCTCACTCTTTGCACTAACTGTTTACGCGTGTTAAAAGGTTTATTCAGCACTACTGTAAGAGATTAATAGTCATGTTTAGTTGATGGTAAAATACTGATGTATATATTGTGATTTTTAACGGAAAATGAATCCAGAGGTTGATTACACGCAGAGCAAACAGATGGGTCAGGAGTGTTTTACAAAGGAAGACGTATTCTTAGTTAAATAGCTAACAAATCAGAGAGCTTCATAACAATGAGGCAAGAAATCTGTAAATCCAATACTGCAGTCCATAAAACTGTCCTGCTCATTGATTTGTTACATTGTTTGTGATCGCATTATACAACCGAGTTTACTCAGAATGATATCCTAAAAAACCTTTGACGCTCAAAAGTTTTAACGCTGATTTTAAAAGGGTGAATCTCTGTTGTTTGCATTTTTAATTCGCTTTGTGAGACGTTTTTTGAACATATAATTTAAAATCGCTCTTTAGGTTTCTACAGAGCCCTAAAAAGTAAAAAGTAAAAAATAAAAAATAAATAAAACTTGTGCGCTGATGTTTTTAGGTTTCTAAAGGTTTTCAGCAGATTTTTTAAAAGGTTTTTTCTCTCTGAGGCATCAGACACATGAGGACTGATTGACAAGATTCACTTGTAATATTTAGATTTTTTTTTATTGCATCAACATGCTTTTGTTTATTTGTGTTCACTTTTTATAATAATGGTAAGATATAGTCCATATTTTTATTAAATATATTAGCATACAATTTATATTCCTACTTTGTATCTCTCAGAAACAACCGAGGAGACGCCGTCCTTTTTACAATCCAAAGTACAAACAACAGAAAATATTCTACATTAATATGTAAAGAAAAATACTAGTAGCCTTTGCAAAATCAACTGATTGTTGTTTTCAACATAAAATCCGCCTCTGACAGGTCAAATAGCCAATCACAGTTTATGACGTTTGGGGTGGCACCTGGAGTGGCCAATCACATTTCTAGGGGGGCCCATGCCACCCCTCTGGACACGCCCCTGACTGTCTGCACTAACAAATGTCTACTGTAATATTTTTCTGGTAAGTTGTCGCTGAAAGATCCTTAAAAAGGTCTTTGGTCAAACGTCAATTCATCAAGAACCTTTATGCAGATAAATCCAACATGTCTTCATGGCTTTAATGTCATTACAGTTTTTAGCATGCTGAAAACAAGTATTAACTGTAAATACATATTTTATGAACCACCGTTGGGATTTGTTCCTGTGTGATTATTTTAAATATGATTTCAGCAGAGCTCCAGTTTATCACTCTGTGCTATGAATCATTAAAGGGAGTTCTTGTCATGTTTTATGTCAATCTTGATTGGTCTTAATGATAAATGTCAATCAATTTAATTTCATTTAATGCTACATAGTAAAGTGTAATATGTTAATAAAGCTCTTTTATTTGAAATGATGAGATCAAAAATGGCTCTATCTTTCTGAGGGTATCTGTATTGTGTTTAAATGTGTAAAACCTGACCATGGGTTTAGTATATATACAGTATATATAAATTATTTAAAATGCAATAGGATGGACTGAAATATTTCTCATAATATTTGATATATGATTTACTTTTTCAATCTAAACTTTACAGAAATATAAATAACACATTAAAATAAATCTTAAGATTTAAAGGTATATAATAAAGGGTTGTGTATTTGACCAATCAGAACTCTTAAAAAGTAGAAAATTGACCTTCTTGTTTTTTTTTTTTAATATCACTTTGAAGGGAAAAATAATTTGGACGCCATATTTTTTTTTATGATGGAATAATAATAGATCAAATAGAATGATTTGAATTTATGTTTGATATGCAACATCACTTTAAATAAATTGGAAAAAAAAACGGTTACATGGATTTGTCATCCATGGCACAAAAAAAAAAATAAATAAATGTAAACTAGCGGCCGATTCATTTCACAACTTTCCCATCGTAGTAAAGAAGCAGTCCTGTCAGAGGCCGGTGGCGGACAAAGTCACGCTCGGTACACATGGCGATAAATGAGAATGTCACACCAAAGTGAAACATGGCTTTAAGGCAGCAGCCATGTATTGTGTTCTACATGTGGGGTGAGCACACATTTACCTTGTCCGACTTTCATGATGACTTTCATGGCTCGGCTCTTGCACACGCCTCCCTCCCGGTTCTCCAGGCCCTCGACCGTACCGTTGGAGGTTGCTGCAGGAGGGAAAGAGGAAAGGGGATGAAGGAGGAGGAAAGGGAGGAAAAGGAAGAGGAGGAGAGAAGATGACACACTGGTTAATGAGCACGTCCATAACGCACCGAGCTAATCAATATTTACGACAAGCACTGATTAGCTGTTCCAGTGATTAGCCGTTCTCACCCTCAATCAAGCGCCAGCTCCTCTCTACGGTATCTCTCATTAACACAATAAAGTGAAGTCAAATAAATGGAACAACATTAGAACCTACAGAGAGGGAGGCTGGGCGCTGAGGTGAAGACTAGGAGCATGGTCAGACCTGTGTGTGTGTTTTCTGTCTGAGCATAGTTAAGCAGTGAGACATGCCAGTGAGAGTTCCAGCGTCTTGCCAAGTCCTGGAGCAGCTTACTCCCCTCGGAGCCACATGTGTCATTACTTGCTGCTAGTGCTGAAAGCTAAATGCCTCCTTAATGTTTTTTGCGTGCAAGTGTGTGTGTGTGTGTGTGTGTGTGTGTGTGTGTGTCCATTTTTATGATAAAGCATTTCTTGTGTTTGTGTGTGTGTGTGTGTGTCCGCCTCTCTCCATTTGTTTCAAAGTGTATGTTGTTTGCTCTGACTTGAGGGAGGAGCTCAGGATCGAGGGTTGTTTATTCAATGTCACATTCACTTCAGACGCTGTGACACAATTGGCTGTCTATTTTAGGGCCCATGATAATGACCTAGGCAGACAGAGTGTGACTCTGACCTTAACGCTGAGCAGCACAAGGCAGTCCTGAGTGTGTGTGTGTGTGTGTGTGTGTGTGTGTGTGTGTGTGTGTGTGTGTGTGTGTGTGTGTGTGTGTGTGTGTGTGTGAGGGGGGCCTAGCCTGTGTGGGCGCATGCAATGGCAGCTCTAATTTTGGAATTCCCCAAATGATCACCATCTCCGCTTAGTCTGCTGTTTCAACTTACTCCCTTCCTCCGATATGCTTTTGTTTCTCTTCCTGCTCTGCCCTTCTTAGTCTCTCTCTCTCTCTCTCTCTCTGTTTTCTCGCTCACTTCATTTAGTTTTTATCTGTGGTATATCTAGCTCTACCCCTCCCCTTCCCTCCCTCTTAACTCAATGACCATCTCCCTGGGTGATTGCTTCAGATGGCACCCTCATTATGATGAGATAGTCTTAGAGAGGGTGCTTATCTAATGATGACACAAAGGGAGGCAGACTAAGCTACAGGCTGTAAAAGTGGGACGGGTGGGGGGGTGGTGGGGGGTGGGTCGGGTCTGAACAATGTTCCACAAACATCCTATCACTCAGCCTTGCTAGCATGATGTTTCAATGTTTCTACATGCGTTTATAAACTGATGGTGCATCAAGCGGTGTTGAAATCTGGCTCCACAGCGACGGAAAAGCTCATCTAGTTGATTCATGCCTTGTCATTCCTAAGTATTATTAATGTTGACATTTGTTGCCCTGTGGGAATTCGGCTTTGAGCTCCGGCGAAATTGAAGAAAACCAAATAATGAACTGCACTAATATTTTGTTTCATTATCAGATCATACTCAGGCTCCAGATTTGGAGCAGAACCACAACATTTTGTTAGTGTGGATGGAGCAACGTGATAATTTGTGAGCAGGATTGTGATAACATTGTGTCAGGAGCTCTTGGCGAATTCCCCCCGCGCTGTAGACTCAACACAACCGAATGAACCGGACGCTGAAATATATATACGAGGGGGGGGGGACAGCCGAGAGCCGAGAGGGAACAAAAAGATTTCAAATTTACGTGGGACATTAATGTGAATGAACACTCAGGGCTAAGTGAGTCTTATGATTAATGTAAAGTCTTTTTCAGGGAGCATGCCTCTTCTGAAGGGAACATTCAAAGACGGTGAGGTGAACAGGCCCGTTCCACTCTTAAAGGCACACACCGTCTCGCGGCGCTGAAAGGCCCAGACGCTACAAGTGCTGACCTCATCGAGCCATTTTCCACCCGATTTCTCCTCTTCTTTCAATTTTTTACATTTCCAGGGCAAGGTTAGACAAAAATGAGCCCTTTGAAGATCGAGCTCAAAGGCACTTGAATAATCTGACTAAGAGTGAGCGTCCAGCTATGAATTTTATATCCACTCAGGGAGAGCAAATCTTCCGAGTGTTAACTTCCCTCTGTCATCTAAATTAACTATTCCTTCAGGCTGGCTGACCGGGGCCCCGGCATCACTGATGTGGCATGATGATAAGTTGGCCCTTCTAGGCTTCTGTTTAGGCGGACAACTGAGACTGAGCCGGATTTATAAAGAGATGATCACTTTATGTGTTGTTTGTGTTCAGGCCATTTAAATGTCTAATGATTCAAGGCCTTTTTCTGAACTGCTGGAAATGTGTAATCCAATTAACCATGTCCAGTTTTAACTACATTTCCTTCTGTGAAAGCATCTTTTAAATGCTGTTCAAGATGGAAATCATCTACAGAAACAAGTTGAGCGCATTAGAAACCCAGACAGAATGAAAAGCACAACACACTCCTGTTGTAGTCATTTGTACTGCTGTCTGCTTTCTGTGTATTTACATCTGTCATGTCACAGTTCACTCTAATACAAACGATGCCAGCCTGGTTTCTCAGACACTCTAACCCTACTAGAAAACAAGGACACAGTGCCAGCTTGTTTATTTTAATCTGAAAGCCTCTCACTCACTCTATCTCCGCTTCTCCTCCCTCTCTCTCTCTCTCTCTCTCATTTCATCCCTGCATTCTGACATTAATCCAAATCTGGATTTCCAGATATTAAAAGGCTGACGGTCATGGCGTGTTTTGGAAAGAGGAAACTGGGGAATTGGGTCTTCCTGTGAGTCTCGATGGAGATGAAAACACAAGGGGGATAAAGCAGCGACAGGGCGAGGAACAAAGAAACTCCCATTCTGCTGTTAATGATTTGGTGGAACAAACCGGTTCAGCGTTCGCGGTCCAGAATACCAAAAGAAACTGGTCATTGCATGAAGGAATGTTGCTTTTTTTTTCTTTTTTTAAATAAAGTGGTCGGCTCCAGAGTTTGCCTTTTGTATGATTTAAGGCTCTCTTTGTGGGTGTGGAAGCATTGGCCACAGAGAGACTAGAGGGAGAACAAAAGATCTACAGCTGCTGAAGTCATAAGAGAAACCAGGTGCCAAAAGTTGATGTTGGGAAATATCTACAGTACAAATGTATCAGCCAAGAGCAGCTTACAGGGGAAATAACTGACCTGCAAGACAGGCTCCTGTTCCAATACCACACATACATCACCACTGCTAGCATATTAACATGCATGTTTATATGCACACGCCTACATATAACCAAATGCACAGATTTCACAAGGACATTCGGGGTGGAGCTGGGAGACCGCTCCCGTGGGTGACCCCGATGGGAAGCATGGAAGATGTGTGAAAGATGCAGAGCTGCCCGGTCGAGACCAACACCAGCTCAGGCTAGAGTGCGATGCGGTGGTCTATATTTATTCTCAGGTCGGCTAAATGAGGTCACTCAGGTGGTCCTGCTGAATACATTCCCCATCTCCATCATGAATCATCTGCTGCTTATTATTCCTGTCCAGCCCAGGGGGGGCTCGCTTTCATACAGCACGATGGGCTGTGTGTGTGTGTGTGTGTGTGTGCACGCAGCATGTGCTCCCCTGTCTATGCGAGCGCGTGCGAGCTCTCATGCACGACATCTGCCCAAAGCGCCAAAGAAGAGGATAGACACAGCCCGTGTGACAGACAGAGAGCAGGTTGTTTAATGAGAAAGTGGATGAGAGGTGACATTCATTGGCTACCTTTCACACATCACCCCCCCCCCCACACACACACACACACACACACATTCTCCACAGCATTCAGACTTCCACTTAGACGAGTCGAGCAGGCACCGGGTAGTCACAGTAACCACAGGCAATAATGTCTACATTTCCACAAAAATATAAAAAGCTAAATACATAAACAGGCACAAGCACGATCTGATCATTCACACTTAGCATCAAGGAAAAACAGCAGCACACAGAGCTGTTTCATCCATTTGAGGCAAAGCAGGGAGCTAAACACAGCCGTGTCAGGCTGCGTCTGTGTCTGTATCAAACAGAGCGGCAAAACTGTATTGGCTATTTCTCATACCTGAGATATTCCATCTCCATTTTTGTTTACATTTGTGAACCAAACTCAAAGTGGGGGAGAAGGAAAAGAGAGCCTATTTGCACAAATATTTCACTCCTGAATGAGCACAGAGAGGGTTAGATTAGGTTTATGGGCCTGATTCCAGAGATAACCCTCCCCAGCAGATCTGGCTTGCATGCAAGCATGCACGTGTATACACACACACACACACACACACACACACACACACACACACACACACACAGTGAGGTTGGCAGACTGGAATAATACTGGGGGATCTAGATGTTTGCACTTTGAACCTTTTCTAATCCAGAGTATTAGGACATGGCTAAAGCCTGATTATGGCAGAATGAAATGGATCTAAATAGATGTCCCAGCCCATCAGCCTCTCGTTTCTTTGTCCTCGAAATAAAAATGGAAATCAGCAATCAACCTCCAACCCCCTCACCCGCTGTCTCTCCCACATAGCCTCCTGTATGGGGTTGGCTTCAGCGAAGAAAATTCATTCAGACTATCATATCATCTCGGATGAATTAGGCTGCGCTCAGCTCGGCCAATGTTTTCTTCTCCTGTTTCTTTTGAATAATAAAAACTGGCAGACAATATAAAAGAGTCATAAATATGACATTAGAGCTGGATTTTCAAAATCCAATATTGAATGTAGGTTAGTATGAATGTGGTTTTGAGTAATGTGCAAAGACACAGCTGATTTTCTCATCTTCATGTTCGACAACAGTGCTCTTTTCCATTTCGCTTTTTGGAAGAGCATCACCTTGTAGCAGCTCTAATATCACTACGTGCTGCCTGTTCCCGGGAGCCGCTTTGTGCGTGTATGCCAAGCAGGTAGCAGCATTAGTGTCAGGGTTTAAGGTGGTTAGCGGCCCACTGCACACAACTGTTG